TTATCCAGTTTGTGAGAGGTTCAGATCCACAAATTGAAGACAGTGAGAGATCCACCTTAGGGTGAAGTTGTATCCCATTATTTATCATAGTGGAAGTTTGAAGTGGACTACGGTCCCGTGGTTTTTCCCTTCACCTTGGAGGGTTTCCACGTTAAAATTCTGGTGTTATTTACTATTCGTCTTTACAGCTTTCATCAAATATTTTATCCTATTTAATTGTCACAGAAATAGTAGTGGAAAAATTATCCAGGCCTTTTTTCGCATATACTGTTCTTTTTCCCAACAATCCACCTCTTGGTCTCATGGCCTTCAACCTTCAACTTGGATAAGTCTTCAACTTGAACACAGCAATGGATCTCGTCGGTGTCGCTAGGATTTGGGCTGGACCGTCGAGAGTGCGAGGGAGTGAGGCAAAGGCGCTGCAATTCGCAGCGTGAAAGTCCAGCACCAAGGGACACGAACAGCGGCCACGGAGGGACTTCCTTCTTTTTACCTTTCTCTCAATGTGTCGTGTATTTCAATTCTGTGGCCGTGTGTTCTACTTCGTGGCCTCCCCAAACGTGAATGGACGTCCCTTTATATAGTATTAGGTCTAGATTAAAACTCACAATTTTAAATTCTAAAAGACACATTTTATTAATATTGATACCTAAATTTTGGCAATCCAGTCAGTCGTTCGTTCATAAAAAATTAGAGATCGATCCCGGTCCCTAGACAAAAAAATTAGTTAAATTGCATATAGATTAGGAACATTTGAATTAGTATTTAGGCTCATATAGTTGCATTTGCATCGGACTGGTGGCGGATGTATTTAACAAAATTTAATTGAACTAGAGTTAATGAACTCAAGTAAAGAGGTTCTGAACTCAATGGAATAAATTGGATCAAGCCCGTGCGAATTAAGGATTCGACCCAATCTGTTATTCCCTAAAGTGGTCAAGATTGACATGTACATTGCGCATGTGATATATCGGATTAGGGGATGGTCAAGATTGACATGTACATTGCGCATGTGATATATCGGATTAGGGGATGTTGAGACAATATCATCAAAATCTTTTGGTCACACGATTATTTGAAAGAATGAATATAGAGAAAGAAGGCAAAATTAATTTTTGTGGATTGCCTGCAAAATTTGGTGAAGAAACAATTTGAAAGCAGAGCGTTATCGGAGCAAGAATTAAGGAAAGATGATTCACTCAAGCTGGTGGATACAGACTTGTGGACAAAGGGATTAAAGAAAGGAAAAAAAGGATTGGTCAGAAGATGTGGATTCTTGAGAAATAACAAAAGAAGGAAAGGAATAAAATATATATATTTCAATGCATGCACAATTGGAAGCCGCATCCCGTTCTTTCCTTGAGGACCCTTTTTATATGTAAAAAGGGGGGCTTCAGAATGCACAGAGAGAGGAGAGAATACAGAGAGTGAGAAGAGAGGCTCCGTGGCTGAGCGTCCCTCTACTGCCGCGACTACCCCTCTTGGGTATGACCTTGGCCGCCTCACCATCGTCGTCTGCTGCCCATCAAAGCCACCTACTCCTCGACGACGACAATGCAGTCACCGTGGAAGTCCCTGCCGTACCGATGACAACCTGCTGATCCATGGCCGAGAGGGTCATGTACCGTGAGTCGCCGCATCAACGACGAAGCAACCACGCCTTGCACGAAGCCGTTGCAACACTGCAACACCCTCGTAGCGTTCAAGCCTTTGCCACCAGCACCGCTCTCAGTTTTCGTCCAATATAGGCAATTTTATTGGAGCCTTGTTTGGCGAACTCCTTGGTCAGCTACAAGTCCCAATTAAAGTTTAGCCTGCTTGACAGTTTTCTTTGCAGTTTATTTGGCGAAGACAGCCACTCTTGCAGCAAATCCCATAGCCACGTGCTCTGGGAACAGAGGATTCCGAAAAAGAAAATAAGAAAAGGAAAGTGGCTCACCCCCAAGACACATCCACGTGAGAAAATATTAAGTGGTTTGATATCACCACGTCATCTGCCTACATGGCATATTTAAACTTACGTGGCTCCACTCAAAACGGGACATTTGTCCTCCGACGTGGAATTAAAAAAGTGAACCGAAAGCTCTATTATCTCTCTCTCCTCTGACCGAAAGAACTGACACACGCAACAATCAATGCTAAATTTATTGCCTCTTTTCTCTCTCCCTCCTCTTTGCAGAAGAACCCATTTCAAGTCTTCCATCAACACCTCTCTGTTCTGCAACTTTTCTTCCCCTTCCGAATCCCTTTCTCTCTCCCTCACGAGAAAATACTCACTCACTCATCTCAAGCCCTCCCCCTCTTCCTCCTCCTCCTCCTCCTCCTCGCCTACGTCTTCGTCGCCGCCGTTGCCTTTCCGGCTCCGGCGCTGGCCTCTCGAACTCTTCTTCGTCTTCTACTCTAGTCCGTTCCCGATTTCCGGCTCAGTTACGTCGCCAACGCCGGAGCCGGAAATCGAGAACGGACTAGAGTAGAAGACGAAGAAGAGTTCGAGAGGCCAGCGCCGGAGCCGGAAAGGCAACGGCGGCGACGAAGACGTAGGCGAAGGAGGAGGAGGAGGAGGAGGAGGAAGAGGGGGAGGGGAGGAGGAGGAGGAGGAGGAGGAAGAGGGGGAGGGCTTGAGATGAGTGAGTGAGTATTTTCTCGTGAGGGAGAGAGAAAGGGATTCGGAAGGGGAAGAAAAGTTGCAGAACAGAGAGGTGTTGATGGAAGACTTGAAATGAGTTCTTCTGCAAAGAGGAGGGAGAGAGAAAAGAGGCAATAAATTTAGCATTGATTGTTGCGTGTGTCAGTTCTTTCGGCCAGAGGAGAGAGAGATAATAGAGCTTTCGGTTCACTTTTTTAATTCCACGTCGGAGGACAAATGTCCCGTTTTGAGTGGAGCCACGTAAGTTTAAATATGCCATGTAGGCAGATGACGTGGTGATATCAAACCACTGAATATTTTCTCCATCCGAGTTCATTCACTATCGTGTTCGTTGAGACCTCACAGCCGCTCCTTTGCTGCCACGTTCACACGGATCAACCGAGAGCCACGCCATTGTAAAGCCCACCGCGAGCACCACACCGTGAAGTACCACGTCCCATCCGTCATCCATCATTCAAATTCGGAAACTTCATCCGTGAAATATTTCAAATTAGATAATATGTTATCAAATTAAATTTTAATATATTAAGTTGCTTAATTTGAATTTATTGTGATGTCAATTAGATGTTGTGTCGATATTCTCATATTCATAAATATTTTTGAAATTCATGAATTAGGAATTATTTCCTAATTTCATAATATATTATGATCGCCAATCCGATCTCATGCCCGAGATACGATTCGTAATTGAATGGAAAATCGCCAATCTGATCTCCCGTCCGAGATACGATTCACGATTTCATTGAAAATTGGCCAATCCGATCCTCATGCCCGAAATGTGATTTGTCAATTTATTTTCCAAATTTGAATGGACATAGATGATATCTTGGGTGATTGGATGTTATCTTTGGTTTTGGTTTGAATCTTTGTTTTGATTTGATTTGAATCTCCCAAAAAGATTAGATAGGACCAAGGTAAGTTTTTTTAAATAGATTGCATGCTTTTATAGGGTTTATCTAGTTAGGATAACATTCCGATTTAAATTAGGATTTGGCCTAGTTTAATTCCTAAAATGAATTGGATAATATCTTGCACTAGATAATAAATTTCATTATTTTCTAATTCCGAATTTCATGAAAACATACCAAAAATAAACATGTGCTTGTCATGCTAGAATAGTTGCGTATTAATTTTGGCCCGTCATTAGAAACTACATGTTTAGGTCATTTAATTAGGAATCGCATTACATGCATTGCATATATTTTAATTTCCACTAAATAAGAGAAAATTCCAAAAAATGCATTGAGTGGAATTGCGTGTTAATTAGAAATCATATTAAGGTTGTTGATGCCATTTTCTAACTAACGTTGCAAATGCTTTCGTTGCTCCAAGGTAAGTATGTTCTTCCCGTCCTTGCGATTTATTTATTGCTTTGTTTTATTGAGTGTTATATTATTGGTTGCACACTCGCATAATCACCTCGTATGTTAGTGGATGTCTAAAATCAATCCAAGCTGCCTGCAAATAATTTTTTTGAAATAAAAGAGAAAAGGTACCGAAATGGCATTAGAGTAATCTAGTGTAACCAAGTCTCCGAATCCATAATCTCCGGTTCGTAAGAGTAAAGTAATTCTCCCGATACTTTATTTGGGTTTCTAATCAACCCACCAAAAAATAGATTAGTGGCAACTCCTGATTTAAATGATTTGCATGTTAAGAACTTAAACCTTAAGTCGCAAATTGGTAAGGGCTTGGGAGGGCCCCAGTTAAGCTTAGACTTAATAATCCATTAGCCAAACCCCTAGGTGGTGCACCGCGGGACGTTAGGTCGCGACAATTGATGTGAAACTTTTATTATCTCTTAAAATCCTGATAATATCAAACCAAATCGAGCAATTATCTTTCAAGATTTGAATAATAATCAAGATTAATTGCTCAATTATCCAATGGGAAAATTTCGGTTCTTATAATACTCATGGGCTGGGCCGAATTTTCTCACACCATGGACTTGGTCCAGTTAGCATAAAGTAAGCTCGGAACCATTCGCTCGAGTCAATCCGCCGTCGGTCCAAAAAATGTGCAAACTATATGGACCTAATTAACTATCAATGAAATGCTCCTAATATCTTTATGCAATTTAACTAATTTTTTTGTCTAGGGACCGGGATTGATCCCTAATTTTTTATGTAATGAATGACTAACTGGGTCGCCAAAATTTAGGTGTCAATGCAACCTGTTCACTATTGAAGTTGATTCAGAACCTTGGGGTAATAATGCATTGATTTATCAAATCAATCCAGTACTTAGAGGTATTAAAAGCTTTCAAAATCCCGACAACAGCATCCCATTTTACCATATCATAAGCCTTCATGAGATCAATGTTTGTAACTCATAAATTAAACGTGGATAAAGATTTGGTATGCAGAAAAATATAAGATTTTCGATGTGTATATTACTTTGAAATAGGCTCAAGTAGTAAGAGACATTACAGACTTGCAAAAGTTTGCTCCTTCACATGTATACGATGATAACAGATGGAAGGAACTTCATGAGGAGCTTCAGAATTTTGCTAGATTTTGCTCCTTCGATGTAGATGTATGGACGGCTTGGCCTCAACCAGGCATGCGTGAATGGATCAAGAAGCTGTAGGAGGTACGAGTGTGCAGGTGCTGTTAAATGTTAGGGCGTCGTCAGCTTTGGACAGCAACACCAAGCAGTGGGCTTGGTGATGGAACCGGACGTGCACCAGTCCCTCTACCACGTGAATGCTCGACCTCAATCTCACCCCAACCCTCAGAGCCAGGCCTCCCTTGCTTCCGTCCAGCATGTCTTGCATGCTCCTCCCTGCCCCGTACATCGCTTTGTTCCTCGTCCCCACGTACATCCCGAACGATGTCGTCCCACTGCTCCCGGCATATAACTCCCCACCCTACAAAGTTTAATGACATTAGCGACACGCATGTTTCAACTAAAATTGACTTGTGTTGAAGAAAGGCAAGGGACGCTCACATGACGAGCGATGGCGAGAGGTAGTCGACCAAAGTAGAGGTGAATGAGAGGTGGTTGAACGTGAAGGCCGAAGAGCTTCGACTTGTTGTCTACCCAAAGTCGCATCGATACGTTGCAGCTCAAGATCTTTGTGGACACTCCCGTGCCGTCCACTCCCTCTGCCAATATGAAATTTGGGATCCCTTCCACCTGCATCTCGAATGCTATCCACATCTTACTTTGATATTTTTATAGAGATATAAACTTTACATGTTGTTCTATTATCTCCATGAATCTAGGAACTGCTAGTCATGGAATGAATTGATCTTGCCGAAGAACGCTTCCATTTGATCTCTTATTTTTAGGCCACCACTGATTCTACCTCCCTCGTACGGAAGAATCCTTCTTTGGAAAGTCGTGACCCCGCCAAAAGCCTTAACCTTAGTTATTCCAAACATACAAGTTCTTATTTTTTTATAAGCAGGCTAGCATAATAGTCGTCGGTCCACCGTAAGAATAACGACCTATTCTAAGCCACAAATTCTCGAAAAAATAAACGCCACCACAATTGATAATTATTTGTGATTTATTATTTTGTGGCTCAGACCAAATGATTAGTATCCCGTAGATAAAGGGCTGTCACTTAATCATTTTTCTTTTTATAATAAAAGATGTGGACTCTCGGACAGCCGTAAAAGTGACGGATGGGGGCCCCCCCACTAATGCTAATCCAGTGTTACTGTTATCAAAGGGACCGGATTGGCTTAATTGAAAAATGGTGAAGTGGCCAATCCGGTTTCTAATCCTTCCAAAATTACACGGTTGCTCAAACGTTCAGCTCTTAAATACACAAATCGTAAACAACAACCATGCGCATATTAGCTAATAGTTTAAGCACACGATAATCCATATTTCATTAAAAGAAAAAACCAAGCATGGCATGATAAGCTACTAGGTTTCACGAGAAGAAGCATGCGTGAATCGAATCACTTATTGTGAGAATACTGCTAAACATATGAGTATTAATTAAATTACCTTGACGGAAACATCGGGGTTTGGTGGTTTGGTGGCTAAATAGAAAACGAGCAATGCCATTCCCAAGCTCACCATCATCCTCCAACTTATCTGCAACAAAATCCAAGCATTGGACGAGGGATTATAACCGAAGGACAAGTATCTCCACCACTCCACTTTCTCTTGGTAATACACTTGCTCATCAGCATCCTCCTTATCATCACCACCACCACCCATGTCCCCATCGAACGCAACAAGACGCTTCTCGGTATTGTCGGAAATGACGGGGTCGGGATCGTTCCCGTTTTGGGGCAATAAGGCCAAGGAGTTGTTGGATGCACGGGAGGAGTGGCGAGAGAGGGTGTATGTGGAGATGGCTCGTTGGGGGGGATGGTGGAGGAAGGATGTGGACGGTGGTTCGAGGTTGCTGTAGGCGTGAGAGACGGTGGAAGGGCTTTGCACGTAGTATGCACTCTCGTACGTAGGGAAGGGAAACAATCCTTCTGCCTCTTCCATGTCCATCGCTCTCTGCTGCTTCCACTTTAGAGCGCCCTGTATTTAAACCGGACTAGTGTCCCCACTCCGTTTTCTTGGCCACGAGATTGGCTCCAATTGCTGACTTTTCTTAGAGTGATACCAAAGAAATTGTACAATGTTAGTGCTAGGATCACGGGGGAGTATGCTATCATATCAATTGATCGTGAACATTGCAACATGATTCACCGCATTTCGAAACTTAATCGGCGTTTTCCTAATAAAAAAGCTGGCCACAACATGATTGGCCATAATACTCTCACAAATGATTTGGTAGTGAAGATAATAATTCCTGCTTCTCCTGTCGAAATCAATAAAATGATTATGGGGTTAAAGTTGAGGGTGGAAAAATTCGAAAAGTATTTTTAATAACGGTGTGTAGCTTTTGTGCAATAACTTTATGCTCCCCAATTCTCGAGCTTATGGACACCCGTACCCTAAATTAAAGTCCGCAAATTTAGGGTTTACCTCGAGCTCTGTTCCCACCTAAAGCGACTAGCCTTTGCTTTACACCGAATTGCCTTTATTCTTTTTTAGTCCACAACCAGAGAGACATGATAGCCTTGTAATCACGCCTTACCAAAATTGTTTCTTTTTTCATCGTCTTCCTTTTACGACATTGTAATAAACTAGCTGGGGTTGTCAATCAAAGAGAGGGCAAGCGGATCTTGATCCGAGGTGAGATTATCTTTGGATACACTTTTACATTCATTCGTTTACGGCAAGGCCACATTCTATTTATAATAATGAAGTCTCTACCTGTAAGATCATTTTAGGGTGTGTTTTTTTCGCATAAAGTTTCATAATAATGGAAAATACTTTTTGTAGAATCATTGTCAACAAAAATTGCTAGTTTTCCACTAATTAATCATTTTCAACAAACCAAACACGTGAAAAGTCCCGAAACCTAATTCGTGGGAAGCTCTTTCATTGAAACAAACGACACCCTTAATAGGATTATATTGCCTTTCTCTCGAGATGATAGATAAACGCACACCATTTGTCTAACCTCTGCATTTCACTAAAGGAAGCTTTTCTAATCTCGGTGAGCTGCGTATATACTTCGTATTGGAGAAGGCCTTGTCAAATGGTACTGAGTTCTTGAGAAAAATCTTCTCGCACGTGTCTGTGCAAATTGATCAAAGTTGGAGTGAAAGTGGTCGTGTAGTGTCTATGAATCTATGACTAGTAAATGATGGTTGGCCATGGCCAGCCAATGTTTTGCCCGAGAAGCTTCTTCCATAATATAAAATGCTCCCAAGACAAAAGCACTTGATGCAGTTTGGTACCCGAAAGAGAAAGGGAAGTTCAATGTTTTAAAAATGGAGAAAGAGGAGAAGCGTTAGATGCAAATTTTGTAGTCTTGCTTGCTCAAGAAGAGATGACACATAGGAGTCGAGAGTTCCACATGCGGTCATGATGAGACGCAGGTATCTCAGAAATATTGTAGTGAAAAAAGAATTTTTTTTGGCTTTTACACCAAAGCATTGTGAATTGCACTGTTCATCATCATTGCTTTCTATTTCCCTCTCGCCTCATAATATAGTAATCTAGTCTGTCCCCTCGGCTAGATAAAAGAAAATAAAAGTATGCATCTCCAGCCTCCCAGTAGATGCGATTAAGGCTCCACTTATTTCGCGAAAAATGTAATATTTTTAAAAAACATTTTTTGAGAAATTATTTTTTAATGAAAATGGCAATAATCTCGGTATTTGGCTGAATTCTGAAAATTATTTTCCATCGTCTAGAAAGGAAAACTTATTTTTTTCTCTTTTCTTAAAGATCCATGCACTATTCGTTTGATATAAGGGTTACACATCATATATCATCAAATTTTAAATAAAATTTTGGTAATATAAATACTTTTATAGATTGTAAACAGATTATTTATTTCTCTTTTATGGGTTTCTACCTGCATTTTATTCCTTTGGTTGAAATTAGCATCATGATAGAAAAAACATTAGTATACTTTTTATATGTTGTGTGATACAAGCTAAATTAGGTTTCGTTTATTTATTTCTCTTTTTTACGTTTCACAGTGGACCTCAATTACACTTATCATGGGCTTTTTAACCTGATTTGAGCCCAACTATTTACTTAAGATTTTTCCATTTAACAACTCAACTATTGCAAGCCACGCAAACTCAGTTGACGCAAGAAATCTTAGATAGCCCCACTACCCTACAATACTAGGTCATCGACCCACCTTTGATTGGTGAAATTTCTCGCCGCCTTTCTCTGTTTTCAAATTGTTGATAGGTATGGCTATGGATTGCGTGGCTGGTTGTTTCAGGTGGTGTCTATGGAGGTGGAGGGTTGGCTTTCATGTGGTGGTAGAGTTTCACGACCTTCTATCCTGGTTGGTGGTGGCTATGGGTTGGGAACTGTGGTCAGTGGTGACCGTTTTTGCGGGTGGTGGATTGTAGCAAAGAAAGATGGCTGCGACAAACGGTGGTGGCGGCTGCAAAGATGGAGAATCCGGCGGTGGCATCAAAATGTTCCTAGTTTGCAGTCGACGGTGGTGGTGGGGTACAGCGAAGATGGTGCTGATGGTTGTGGTTTGACTACGTGTGAAGGATGGCGGTGCATGCTTACAGAGCTGAGAAGACATGTGAATGAAAACGATTTTCGCTTTTGAAAAAGACCGACATTTTCCAACCTTGAGTGTGTCTTCAAGATGGAAAACATTTTGCTTGACTTACTTTTCGTCACCAAACACTAGAAATAAATGAATTTATTTTCCTGGAAATCATTATCTTTCAAACAAACGGAGCTCAAGTCACCCGCAGCTAGCGAGGGCTTCGCCGAGGTATGGATCAGTCGATCGACAGCGCCTCCTGAGATCGATCCAAAGGGAATTAATTTAGAGGCCCATCACGTCGTCTAGTTGGTTTGGTTGACTCATCAAAGGGTCCTACACCGACGGGCCGAGAGTGGTCGCTTAAACATCAAGCTCTTCTGAAGGGAGAGCATACCGAAAGGATCAACAGAAACGAAGCTCTCCCGATGCATGGCGTGTTTAAATGGATTGTCCACTGGGCTGTGTTCGTAATGTTCAACTCATAGCTATCGGTCCCCATCATTAATAAGTGCAAGATGAGATATTGTTTGATTATTACGAAACCCATCAGATGATCAACCGCATAGAGTTTTGCTGTTATATATTAAACCTGAGTTGACGTATTGGGGCACATACTTTTCGGGGACACGTCTAAGGAATTGACTGTTTGTCGTGGACGAGCTCATGGCATTTACATACTTGATGGATTATATCAATATCAGAAGCTGTGTGATTGACTCCGAGACACAGAGGAGAGAGAGATGGATGATGTCAATGGAGAGAGCGTACGTGGTGGAAGAATGAGTGGTTATGAGAAGGAGGAGGAGGAGAAGGAGAAGAGAGGGCACGCAGTATGTCTCCCAAGCCCAGCTCAAAGCCACATAAGCGCGATGCTGAAACTAGCTAAGCTCCTCCACCAACGTGCAGGCTTTCGCATCACCTTCGTCAACACCGAGTTCAAACATGCACGCTTGCTCAGGTCTCACCCTTCTTTCTTCTCCACGAGTCTTGATGATTTTCAATTCGTGACCATCCCAGATGGCCTGCCACCTCCCTCCGATCCAGATGGGACCCAGGACGTGCCCGAGCTCTGCGAAGCCACTCGGACCTTCATGCCTCTTCCCTTCTCTCGCCTCATCGCCACTCTCCTTGAAACATCATCAGATGAGTCCAGAGGCGTTTCTTGCATCCTCTGTGACGGTTTCATGTCGTTCACCGCCACTCCTGCGGCTCGGCAGTTTAACATCCCTCTCCTCTTCTTTTGGCCCGTCTCTGCTTCTTCATTCTTGGCCCCCAAACATTATCGCGCCATCGAGGAAAAGCTGCGTCCTCTTGCACCCCCTAAAGGTGAGTGACTCTCGTATTTCAAGTTGTACATACTCACTCTCCGTATGTGACATGGATTTGTGGTATACTAGCACAAAACCTTGTTGGGTGTTCAAGTATATAAGTTTCGCCTGCTTAAATACACCAATCTATACCAGGGGTGATCAATTCCCGGTTCGGTCCGATTCCAAGGTGGAACCGAGAATCAGACCGAGAGGACCAGTTCCTAAAATTGGGAACCGGGGACCCGACCACCAGTCCGATCCAGTCCAATGGAACCGGTCATTTAGGGTTTAGTTCACATTTCACTACTTTTTGTCAATAAATTTATTTCAATTAAATTTACTTAGGATTTGATTCACATTTTACTAACTTTTCTAAAGAAATAAAATATATATATGTAATCAGTCCGGGTCGGTTCAGTTCCCCCTTGGAATCGGGAACCGGACCACCCGGACACCGGTTCACTTTTAGGAACCGGAAACTGGACCGACACTCCCGGGAACCGAACCAAACTGGCCGGTTTGGTCCGGTCCGGACGGTTTCCAGTTTGGGCAGTTCATTTTGCACACCCCTAATTTATACAATACCCATATCATCACTTGAGAAACTATACTTGTTTGAATAAGGTTGAACATACTAAAAGCAGGATTTAAGTATAGCTGTCTGACTGGTCATATATATTCTACAATTACCATACTTAAAACTAAATGAGGTAACTTATTAAAAACTGCTACAATCTGCTGATGCAGCTAGGAGGTGTTTTCAAGGATTCCTAAGAGCATATTGTTAGGCATGCCCAAAGGTATTGTTGGGAGCATGCTTTATATGATTTTCTATGGATTAATTACCGGTCTGTAGGCCGGTTAATTTTTATTTTTTTTTATCAAACCGTCTTCATCATCATTGATCCTCACAAATAGTTATTTTTTAGTTAACTGTAAGTGGTTTACTAGAGAACTAAGATGTCCCGTTCAAAAATTGAAATAGCCATTGACATTTTCCCATGAATTAGGTAGTTTAAAGTCTAGAGAAGTCTTACTGTCTAGTATAGCAATAATTACATCGCGATATTTTGAAAGTTAAAAGTTTACATCATCCAATATTTAATTTAATAATTAATTGGCCTACTCAATAATGATTAATATACTTAAAAACTTTTAATAATCACCAATCATTTGATGTATCACTTCCATAGTCGACACCTACCCCAAATTGATTTTTTCTTCTTTCCTTTATTCTTAGACCATGTCATTGGATGTATCACTTCCTCCTTTTAAAGTTGCAAAATTAATAAAAGTAAAACTATTTGGTCAAAAAGAAATCATAAAGTGGAACATGAGACTCCATATTTAGTTCCTTTTTTGTCGCTGTAGAAGGTTGCTTCTTTTCAAAATAGGCAAAACCGACAGAATCAAGAACACGCGAATCCCAAGGTTCCATTTTTTTTAAAACATTTTAAAATACATAAGTTAATAAAATATAAGTTATATCTCCTCATTATAATAAAAAAATTAATTATGAGATAAAAAACCATATTCTCCTGAGTCACTAAGTGGTTTACTAGAGAACTGGTATATCCCATTTAATTAAGATTGGAATAGCCTTTGATATATCCCCATGAATTAGGTATTTTAAAGTTAAGAGAAGACTTGCCCTTTTTGTATAGCAATAGTTACATCTATCATTCCATATTTTAAAAGGTTACAGTTTACATCATCCCAGATGTTTGATTAGATCAGTAATGATTAGTTTACTTATGCTTTTAATAATCATCAATCGTGTCTCTTCTTCAATTTGTTTTCTTTGTTTGGACCTGCATCAAAAGTGGAAGCTAATCCCGTTAATACAGATATAGGTTTGATTGCTTATCACATTTACTCAAAGTATGGCCATATTATTAGAAAATGCTTGAGAGTATAGCAAGATTATTTTTGGATGATTTTTACAACTTCTATGTATAATCCTAAGAACTATATAAGTATTTTGGTGCATATAGTAGAAGTCCATTGAGAAGTTGACAAATGGCCCTCTCATCGTGTGACACGTCTTCTACCTTTCATAAAGCTTAGAAGGAACAGCAATCCCAAAATTAGAAATAATATACCTTAGTTCATCATGAAGTCAAGACAAAAAATTGGGAGAGTTTCTTGCAAGACAAATATTCCCATAACACCTGAAAATTACCAAAAATGTCCTAAATCTATTGAAATTGTGCCAATTTAATCTTAAACAATTTTATTTTTTGCCAATTCAATTCTAAACATATTGCATTTGTGTCAATTCAGTTCATCCAATCAATGTTGGCAGGTCGGTGTTGACGTGGACATCGAGCGGCCTACACTAACGTGGCAATTTTAAATAATTTTTTTTCAATTGTTTTATTTCTTTTTCTCTTTCTTTTTCTTTTTCTTTTTCTTTTTCTTTTTCTTTTTCTTCTTCTTTTTCTTTTTCTTTTTTTTATTTTGATGGTGACTGCATTCTTTTATTAAGTCGTTTTTTGATTTGAGTCAATATTTTCCAAATCACTATATTCAATTTGATTGGACGTACCTTAAAATCAAACACTATGATCGAATGCCAACGCCCTTAATCGAGACATGAAATGTATTTAATTATTCTCGTGGAATGTGCTCATGGAAAAATTACACCCTGACTTGTTCTTTCATGGATTCTCTATGGAAGCATTCGGACATATGGTACCATATATCTTATATTATATGAGCAGACAAGGTTAGACAAAGTTATATTTTGATGTGACAAATGGCAGTGCAGGGAAATATATATTACTTGATCTAGAGAGGAGTATCGAGATTTCAAACTTAGAGCTCTATTACTTAATCCTCAATTACAATTGCAATCGCAACACCATCTGAAGAAGGTCTATACAGTTTACAAAATGAAAAAGGAAAGTAAAGTATTCGATGTCAGATATCTTGTCAAATTAAATGAATTTATGTATATTATGTCAAACTAAATAAGGCCATACTGAATATATCACATTTCAATGTTTCCTCGAACAATTTAGTGCGTCAAATCACGCTTTGTATCCTATCTTTTTCAAACGATGGTATCTATGTTTTTATTAAAATATGAAAAATTTATGTGAGGCAGTCATACGTAAAGCTTTGTGTACCGCATAAAAGAAATATGTCGTTTATGCACGCAGATGCCAGGTCTTCTGAAGCAAATACTTTCTTGGATACGGTCATTGACTGGATTCCGGGCATGGAGTGCATGAGGGTGCGTGATCTCCCAAACTCCTTCGGCACCAAGGATGGTGACGATGATTTCCTGCTTAACTTTGTCCTGGACGTGGTTCAGAATACTACCGATCTAAATCCCACTCCTCCCATGATCTTCCATTCCTTCGAAGCCCTGGAGAGAGATGCTCTCGACGCTCTCTCGTCCATTTCCACTCACATCTACGCTATCGGCCCACTCCATCTCCTCCTCAATCAAGTAGTACATGTCGATGATCGGAGTCATAGGCTGAAGCAAATCAAGGGCAACTTGTGGAAGGAGAACGCAGAGTGCCTTGAGTGGCTCAATTCCAAGGAACCCAAATCAGTAATGTACCTGAATTTCGGGAGCATAGCATTCTTGACCCAAGAACAGCTGGGGGAGTTCGCAATGGGACTTGCCAGTAGTAAGCAACCGTTTCTGTGGATAATTAGGCCGGACCTTGTGAACCAAGGAGACAGTACTAGTGCGAATGCTATTCTTCCTCGTGAGTTTCTTGAAGAAACCAAAGGGAGAGGTTTGATCTCAGGATGGTGCCCACAAGAGGAAGTGCTCAACCACCCTTCGATCGGAGGGTTCTTGACTCACTGCGGATGGAACTCGATAATGGAGAGCCTGTCAGTCGGAGTGCCCATGCTGTGTTGGCCATGCTTTGGGGACCAGAAGGGCAACTGCAGGTATGTATGCAGTGAGTGGGAGACGGGTCTGGAGATTGGAAGTGATGTGAAGAGAGATGATGTGGAGAGGTTGGTCAGAAAGCTGATGACTGACGATGGAGATGATGATGAGACGGGGAAGAAGTTGAAGAAGAGGGCCATGGAGTGGAAGAAGACGGCACATGAGGCTGCTCTTGGCTCTGCCGCTTTGGATTTCAACAAGCTGCTGAATTACCTTACTTCTATCCAAAATTAATTATCAATACTGTAGTATGTGGAGAATTTAGATGGGCTAAGGCCTCAATTTAAGGGTGTATTAATTTAATTTCCTTCTAAATGATAATCCTTGACCTTGAGGACAATATGCATGGCTTTGACATCGTAGTTATTGAACCAAGATATATATTTGATTCGAAATCTTAAATTTCGGAATTATGAATCGAATAGTAAGGTTCGATGAAGTATCCAAAATTAGTTCATTTGTGCCTTTAGCATTTATAAGTTACGTGAACAATATTGCAAAACATGATATTTGAGTAAGATCAGTGAACCATGATAATTTAAACTCAACTATGAGCGCATGTGAATAAGAAGTTGTAATTTCGTGTTGTCTTAAAAACATGAGAATTAGACTCGAAATATAAGTTGCAATTATTTATACACCCATTCTTTTATTATTACTTTGTAAAGTTTAAATTTTTACTTTCAATTATTCTATAACCATCAAATTATAGCATGCATCATAAAATAAAACAGAATTTACATCATTGGACAAGTTTACATACAAAAAGCTAAATCGCTTGAATCTGTAAATACATATCGAATCGTAGATTCACTAGTGAAACAGTATATTTGTTTACTATTCAAGGGACTATTGATTCACCTAACAGCTAGATATGGCATAGGTTCCTAATCGAATCAAATTGTACTATACGTGTCAAAAAATAATTGATTATAATAATTATGTTTGGCACCCTCTTTTGTAGAAGTGTGCAAAAGAACTGGGAATTGCCCGAACCACCTGGGATCGCCCGGAACTGGACCGGAACTGGTGGTTCTTAAGGGAACCAGTCATGTTCTCGATTCCAATTTTCGGGAACCGTTGGATACAAGTTTGGTTCCCGGTTCTAGATGTGGAACCGCCCACCCGAACTGGACCGGTAATATAATAATAATATATAACATAATATAATATAATTTATTTAATTTTTAATTAAAAAAGAAAAAGAAAAATCACAAATCCCTAAACTAAACCTAATTCACTCAATGCTCACAGCCTCACACTGAGCCAAAAAACACCTTTTTTTCGCTTTTGTCCCACGCTCACTCTCACTCTCTCACTCTTCTCAGTCGATGCTCACCTCATCGTCTCTTACTCTTTGTCTTTGTCTCCGTCCCTCCGTTTCAGTCATTGGCTGGCGGGACCGGTTTCATAGACCCACCTGGGAACCGGACCGGACTGGCGGTTCGGTTCCAATCTTTGGAAACCGGTCCCTAGTGGGCGATTCCCGGTTCTAGGGTGCGAACCGCCCACCCGGACCATGCTCACCCCTACTCTTTTGTAGACCTATTACTTAGTCTATTGCACCCAAAAAAAAAAGGTTATTGGATAACCTCAATAACCTTGTCAATTCTAGGAATATTGTGATGGGTAAAATCAATCACAATGCAAAAACATCTGGAAAGTTGTATCTTTGCATGAGACTCGGTATGGAGGTTGTTCTTTTATACGAAATTGACATAATCTATTAATTAGGTTAAGCCTATAGAATAACTTCTGATTGAAGCTTAAACTTTGGCCAGAAAACGTGTAGTGCGGATGTACAAGTTGAACCATTTAAGACAAAAGTTTTGTTATAATCTCGTCTGTCATCTGACAATTGATGCTGAAACTTAACTAATTGTGTAGTTAATGTGAAAAGGAATTATAAAAATGAAGTCGATTCTTGCAAAAAGCATTGTCAAGGAAGATGATGAGGAAATAAAAGCAAACGACGAAATCAAATATTTAGTAATAGGGATTGAGATCCTCTTATACTCTAATAAGATCATGACGCACATCTTGAATTTATATGAGTGGCTGAGATCTTTTGTGATCCTATGTTATGGTGCCGACTTAATCAAACTGTCGACCAATTGGCAATACGCGGTCATGTCTTTGAGATATTTCCCTTGTTCCGCTTGAAGTGTCACATTAGCATTCATAGGTGTTGATTGTTAAAAATATATTCCGAGTTTGAACTAGTGTATGAAACCCGGCTTGATTGAAAAATGTAGATCTGTCCATATTGCAGGTTCATCTATGCATTCAAGGAAAATACTGGTTGGATTTTGATTTCTAATCAATTCGGTGTGGTCTTCTTCTAATCCAACGTTTGACCGTGCGAGTTGGATTTAAAACAAAGAAGCTGTTTTTTTTTTTTGCATAGATGTAAGTATCATTAATCATATGAAGTACATAAGCATTTGGGCATCCTAGCATTACAAATAGAACTAATAATGCGAGAAAATGGAGATAGGAAGCCTCTACATAATAGCCAATATAATATTTGCCTAGGAAGGTCTACAGTTTTGGTAGAGTGGAGCTCTACCTATTATGATTTTATGCACCTTAGCCAAAATAATGTGAATATCAGTTGACTTGTTTTGAAAATATTTGTGGTTACGCTCTATTCAAATGCAATATATAGTCGCCGGGAAAGATACCTTGAGAAGCCTCACCGCCAAGTCTTTGCCCTTAGTAACCATGATCATCCATCGAAGTTCATCAGTCCAACCTCCTAAAGGATGCTAGATCCCATGTTATGCAAGGATCGCCATATACTTCCAATCCAGTTGCACTAGAAGAACAAACGGTATCTATCTTTAATATCGGTCATACAGAAAGTACACTAGACATCAATTGAAGGTATCCATTGTAATACGGTTTTTACTGTCAGTAATCTATCCCTGCAAACAAGCCAACTGATAAAATTGTATTTGCTAATATCGCTAGTCCAAATTAGGTGTTACTACTCCACAACCGGTCCCACATTTCTGACTTCATCATACATCTCTTGCAATAGTACCTTAAACTAGAGATAGCCAAAGTTAGAACATGACTCAACATAAGAAGACCTCGTCAACTCCATGCCATACTGCCCTTAATGTTGAGTCGCAAAATTGGAGTATCTCTACATTTGGTGCTATGCACCCAATTACTCTATAGAGAAGAGGACAGATAATTGATGAGGTCCCAAAGCATGTTGCCTAAAAATACTTTGTTCCAAAATTTCAGATAGAGCAATCCTAGTCCCCCCCCTCCCTTTTGAGTGAGCAAACTAGCATCTAGATAGGTTGCTTAATCTTCTTCTTAGCCTCATAGATAGTTTGCTTTGGAAGTAAAAACATTTGCATCCAGTAAGTGTAGATGTATGTAAGGACCGATTTGGCCAATTGTAGTCGTCCTAAATAGCTTATATGTTTCATGCCCCATTCTTCTATTTTCTTAAAGATCATGTCAGTCAAATTCTTACAATTAGCTTGTGTGAGCCTTCTAGTAAAAATGGGAACTCCAAGGTATATGATAAGGAGGATACCTATGGAGAAAGGTGTGTGATCGAATATGAGGAGCTTTTCATTATCAGTCAACCTAGAGAAAAAGATTTGGCATTTGTCTAAGTTAAACTGCAGTCCTATGAAAGCTGCAAATTCATCAAGTGCATCAACAATATAAAGGGTGCAATCTGCATCCCCATGAGCAAATAAGAACACATCATCTACAAAGCATAAATGAGTAATTTTTTGCGTTTTACAATGCCAATGGAAGATTCAGAAACTTTCGTACTCATAATTCTGTTAAGAATTTCCATAACCAAATCAAAAAGATATAGAGAGAGTGGATTGCCTTGCCGTAGCCCATTAGTGCTATCAACGTAGCCAACGGGTTCACCATTGGAGTTAATTGAAAACCTCAGTGTAATGGTGCACTGAGTAATCAGATCAAGCAACTACGAAGATGTATTTATAGCTTAAGAAACCTGAAGTAATGCATCACATTTTGTCATGTCAAAAGCTTTCATGAGGTAAATTTATGTTGCCATACATTTACCTTTGCCACCTTAATGGCAGTTGTATAAAAGTCATTGGCATAGTAGAATATTCTCCGCAATTAGTCGTGCCTTCATTAAAGTAGTTTGGTTGAGGCTGGCGATCGAAGGTGAGATTGCAACTTATTCTTTCTGCAAGTGACTTTGATATAATTTTATACAAAAAATCACCACAAGAAATGGGTCTGAAACCCTTGATGCAGCATGGATTAAGAACCTTCAGTACAAGAGAGATATGTGTAGAGATTATAGATTTCAACATTCTTTTTCACGAGAAAAATTTCATGATAGCATCCTCAATTTCTTGGCTTATGATGGGCCAAGCCCTTTTGTAGAATAAACTGTATTACTCATTTGGACCCGAAGCTTTGAAGTTAAAGACACCCTTGAGGACTCGGATATCTGCTCTTAGAAAGGCCGGTAATGTGATTAGATCATGAACATTTTCATGAAATAAAGATGCATACCTCTCATATGGATACAAATGTGTCTGGAGTTGCCAAGAATGTGTTAAAAATAAGATATAGTTGTATCCCTAAGAACTCCTTATAAATAATGATAGTGCCATCATCAAGTAAGAGATGATTAATCGTGTTCTTTGCACTTCTCCGCATCATGGAGGTGAAGAAAATCTTATTATTGTTGTCACCCTTCTTGAACTAAAGATTTTTACATTTTTGTTTGAGCAGGACTTCTTCATGTTTACCAAGAGCAAGAAGCTCTTCCAATTATGTCTTTTCTTCGGCCATAGTAACGGGATTGTAAAGGTCATGCGCAAGCTCCTGCTGAATTTGCTATAGACTATTCCAAGCTTCCTTGACCTTCAAATATAGATCACCAAATTGAGATTTATTTATGCGCTTGAGTTGCTCTTTCGGTGCTTTGAGCTTTTTCACCACTATAAACGTTTTGGATCCTCTAAATTCCTATTTCCATCAAGGGAAGACCACGTATCGAAGCTTTTTTACCATCTCAAGTGGCTTTCTTGAAAAGGCGCCGCGCACTGGACATCTTTGAGATATTGGATGAATAAGTATTGGCATTATCTATTAAACCACACAAGGATAATAGATAAGGAAGCCTTCAGCCCCAAGTAGAGATTCCTTCAACACTCACACAGAGAAGTCTTCAAGGTACAGGGAAGTCTGCAAGCAGTATAGTGGACTTT